AGAAATAAAGGCGGCGGCGGCCAAACGGCTGGTGCGAGTGTGGTTCAGTCTCTGGGAATACGTTGCACCTGTTTTCATAGCCCTGTGGCGCATGGAACTGAATCCGCTTATCACGCAACATCTCTCCCCCCTGTGGTGCCCGGCCATGTGGAAGCTACAGCAGACAAAGCCGCCCAGAGCCTCCCAAGGCCGCTGTTTTCTCCATGATTATCACCAGCGTGCAGCTCTCGGAGAACGCGGAGTGGACGGCTGTGGCTGCGTTGCAAACGGAGAAGGCGGGCAACTTCCTAGACAGGAAAGGGGAGCCCTCCCTCAGGGCATAAAGGCAAAGCATCCAACTGCTGGGAAGAGTGATTCAGGGCCAGGATCCCACAGGAACCCTCCGTGTCTGCAACTTCACCTATCCTTTCTTCCTTCCAGCCATGAATCATCATTGCGCTTCCAGAACGAAAGATGAGAAGATGGCCTTGTCTGTATTATAGCCGGGAGATCCTAAGATTGTCTGGCAGCTGGAAGTTCTAGTTCTTTTAGCGCTGTGCACCACCAGGTGGTGAGACAGACTTGTTTTTAAGGCGAGAGGACGTTTTCAGAGGTGGCTTGCCATTGTCTACCTCCATGTCATGCCCCTGGTATTCCTTGGAAGTCGCCCATCCAAATATTAGCCAACCCTGCTTAGCCTCCAAGATCTGATAAGACTGGGCTACCCAGGTCAGTGGCAGAGCATCTGCTTGGCATGCAGAAGGTCCCAGGTTAGATCTATGGCATCTCCAATTGAAAGGCTTAGGCAGTGGGCAACGTAAAAGATCTCGACCCGAAACATTGAGGAGACACTGCCAGTCTGAGCAGGCAATACCGGCCTTGACGGACCGGCAGTCTGATTCAGTATAGGGCAGCTTCACGTGTCCCCTGCTGGATCAGTCCACAGGTGGACTGCCTCACCCCTAGACTTGGAGGCTGTGTAAGACCCACCCTCCATTCACATGGTGCTTGAGGGGGCAACAGTGGGCCTTCAGACGTTCTGCCCCCACTGGTGGACCTCCTGATGGCACCGGGGTTTTGGCCACTGTGAGGCACAGAGTGTTGGACCGGATGGGCCATTGGCCCGATCCAACAGGGCTTCTCTTATGTTCTTATGCAGTGATGCTCTATATTCTCGATGCTGGGGGGGGGCACAGTGGGAGGGTTTCTGGAGCTCTGGCCCTACTGGTGGACCTCCTGATGGCACCGGGGTTCTGGCCACTGTGAGGCACAGAGCATCGGACTGGATGGGCCATTGGCCCGATCCAACAGGGCTTCTCTTATGTTCTTATGCAGTGATGCTCTGTATTCTCGATGCTGGGGGGGGCACAGTGGGAGGGTTTCTGGAGCTCTGGCCCTACCGGTGGACCTCCTGATGGCACCGGGGTTTTGGCCACTGTGAGGCACAGAGTATTGCACCGGATGGGCCATTGGCCTGATCCAAGAGGGCTTCTCTTATGTTATGATTTTGTTTTTATTAACGCCCCCCCCCTTTCAGTACCACCTGTTACAGCTCTGACCAGTCCGGCCTGTGTTCCCTACCATCGGCAGGCAACAGCCCCAAACGGCAGCCATCCCTCACCCCATCCCCCTGCATTCCGTCAGCCGCTTCCCCCATTTAAACCAGGATCTCAGGACACAGTTCCCTATATTCGCTGCCCATCAACATTTCTAGATCATCCGCTCAGAAGCCTTTTACAAAAGCTGCTCTCTCCCCTTCCTGCCCCCCCAAAGGCATAGCTCCCGTGCCTCCTAAAAGCCGCATGACAGGAACGTAAGAAGGAAAGCTCTTGTTCCCCGGCACAAAGGATCAGTGACAGGAAACTTCATTTGGTGGATTTCACAAGGCTGCGAAAAGATCCAAGAACCCCGCTTGGAAACGATTCTTCTGGCTGATGGTTTGTCTCTTTCGGCTCCCTGGGGGTGTGTGTATAACAATCCCCGCTTTCAGACGCACGGACGTTCGAGGGGAAGGAAGGGGCGTGTGGTTGTGGTGCTCCCCCCCCCACATGTGGCACATTTGTGCCTTTATGGAAGCACCCTGCGAAGGACCGAGCTCCGGACCGACGGGTGCCCAGAGCCAACGTCAGGGATGTGACAATGCCAGGCTATGCGGGCAACCAGTTTGATGCTCCTTTACCATGAAAGGGACACAGGACGGGCAGCAACATGGAGCTAAATATAGCGCTCCACCGCACAGCACTTGGGCAGGGCCATCTGCTCAGGGCACGATTTGGGCCAGCCCCGTGTGGTGTGTTGCCAAATACGACCGTATCCAGGTAGCACGGAATATTGCGGAAGGGAAGGCTGGGTAGAGATCCCAATCTTTTCAGAGCTCGGAAGCTAAGCGGGGCCGCTACTTGGGTGGGAGACAAACCAGAACGGAAGGCTCTGCAGAGGCAGGCGACAGCCAGCCGCCTCTGCCTCTCCCTTGCCCTGAGAACGCCAGGCTGGGATTGCCAGACGTTGGGAGGTAAGCAGGGTTGGTGCTTGGATGGGGGACCACCAAGGGGGACTCTGCCAAGGAAGGCGATGGCCAACCACTTTCTGCTTCTCACTTGCCTTGGAAGCCCCTCGCTGGGATTGTCGTACGTTGGAAGTGAAGCAGGGTTGGTACTTGGAGAGGAGACCACCAAGGAAAAGTCTGCAGAGGCAGGCAATGGCAAAACCACCCCTGCCTCTCACTTACCTGAAGGAGAAGAGGAGGAGACTGGATTTACACCCCGCCCTTCACTCGGAGTCTCAGAGCGGCTTACAAACTCCTTTCCCTTCCCTTCCCCACAACAGACACCCTGTGAGGTGGGTGGGGCTGAGAGAGCTCTGACAGAAACTGCTCTTTTTCGAGAACAGCTCTTGTCAGAACTACGGCTTGCCCAAGGTCATCCAGCAGCTGCAAGTGGAGGAGTGGGGAATCAAACCCAGTTCTCCCAGATTAGAGTCCGCGCACTTAACCACGACACCAAACTGGCTCTCTTAAGAACTTCTTTCTGGGATTGTCGTAAGTTGGAAGCTAAGCAGGGTCAGTGCTTGGACGGGAGACCCCCCAAGGAAGACTCTTTAGAGGCAGGCAGTGGCAAACCACCTCTGCCTCCCACTTGCCTTGAAAGCCCCTTGCTGGCGGGTCGCTGGAGGTCAGTTGCAACTTGACGGCACTGACACACACACACGGAATGTCGCAGAAATTGAAGCCTCCCGGTTCCTCCCCGGCAGTGAAAGCCGGGAGTCCCACCCCTGGAGGCTTCCCTCTGTGTAAGTGCTCTGGGTGCAACAGGAAAAAGGAACTGCCCCTCCATTGACAGGTTCTCTCCTGGCTGTGGGTGGTGGCTGTGTGTGTCCTCATGCTGACCCCCCATGCTCCCCTTGCGATACTGTGCATGCGCAGTTATCATCTAAATGCAGCCGCTGAGGCACTAGCTGCTACTGTAACAGCAGGTACATGGGAAGGATGATGGCCCAGGACAAGGGTCCCTTACCTACCCACCTACCTACCTTCCGGTTTTTTAATTTTTGTATTTTTCACATGTGCGTGTGTGTGTGTGTGTGTGTGTGTGTGAGTGTGTGTGTACACACTTGGCCCAGGACAAGGGTCCCTTACCTACCCACCTACCTACCTACCTACCGGTTTTTTATTTTTTGTATTTTTCACATGTGCATGTGTGTGAGTGTGTGTGTACACCTGGAAGTCACGGCAACCTCTGGTGAGCCAGCGTTCCCTCTAAGCTGAGTCAGTGTGAGCTAGCTCGCAGGTTTTCAGCCCCGGCTCGCACATTTTTGCCTTCGCTCAGGAAGGGAGGCTCCAGAGCAAACTAATACACGCCGTAGCCAAATCACGCGCACACAACTTGAATGCCAGTCGCTCACAAAGCAGAATTTCTGCTCACAAGACTCCGCAGCTTAGAGGGACTGAGCCCTACTCGGGGGGCGGGGGGACTGGAGGATATTCAGAGAGGTGGCCGAATCAAGCCTGCCCCCACCTCCCGACTGCTGGTATTCCTTGGAGGTCTCCCATCCAAGTACCTGCCAGGGCCGGCCCTGCTTAGCTTCCGAGATCTGACGAGACCGGGCTGGCCTGGGCTGTCCGGGTGAGGGCAAAGGTCCCCGGCCTTTCTGAGCCTGCAGGGACCTGTGGGATTCTGACGTGGCGTGGAGGGCGCAGGGACAAAATGGCTGCCGCAGGAGGCAGAGCCGGCCATGAAACGGTCACCCTGCCTGAACTTCAGTCACCCTGCGGGGGCAGCTGCCGCCAAAGCAAAGGTTTTTTTTAAAAAAAATAAGAATCTGGTGCTGACCTGGATTGCCCAGGCTATCCATCATGATCTCATCAGATCTCGGAAGCTAAGCAGGGCCGACCCTGACAAGTACTTGGATGGGAGACCTCCGAGCAATACCAGGGCCGGGAGGCCAGAGGCAGGCTGTCTCAATCCACTTCTCCGAACGTCCTCCGGTAGGAGTCGCCAGAGGTCGCCGTGACTTCCAGGCACGAGCATGCACACAGTGCAAAAATACTCCCCCTACCCCCCCAAATCTGCACATATCTCCAACAATGCTCCCTCTAAGTCTTGTGAGCAAAAGTTCTACTCCGTGAGCTACCGGCATTAAAGTTGCCAGCGAGCGATTTGGCTGCGGCATAAATTAGTTTGCTCTGGAGCCATCCTTCCTGGGCTAAGACACAAACCTGTGAGCCAGAGGCTAAAGAACTGCGAGCTAGCTCACACTAACTCGGCTTAGAGGGAACGCTGATCTCCAACTGTCAATCAGAATCCTTGCTGGGCAAAAGCCCTACTCCCCCCCCCCCTTCCTATACACACTTGGTGGGCGCCAGAAAAGTTACCTGCAGGTGCCACAGCGCCCATGGGCTCCACGTTGGGGACCCCTGGCCTAGAGGGTAGCATGAGCACCCCCACCCCCGTTTGGAATTACACTCCTTCCAGGCAGCCCCGCCGTTTCTTTTCCTCCGAACAACCCAACAGAAAGGCAAGGAATAGGTAACCCAGAAGGTTTATTCTCGGTATACAGACACAAACAGGCTCATTCTTCGTCCTCCGGAGGCAGCACGATCTTGCTGGGGTCGTAGTAGTTGGGGTCGAGGAGGGGCAGCCCGTGTGCTTCCCGGTATTTTATCTGCCGTTCGGCTTCCCGCCGAGACCACCCCACTAGCCTGCAGGGGGAGAAGAGACAGAGACAAAGAAAACGGGAGTGAGCTGTTGGGAAACGTCAATGCTGCCACCGCCGCCTGGGAGATACAGGGGAGGACAAGGACACAGACTCGGGTGGGGCCTGGCTCCTGCCCTAGAGCAGTCAGAGAGGAGAGGCAACGTAGCAGGTTGCAGAAGGAGACTGGATTTATACCCGGCCCTTCACTACCCGAAGGAGCGGCTTACAATCTCCTTTCCCTTCCCCTCCCCACAACAGACACCCTGTGAGGTCGGTGGGGCTGAGAGAGCTCTGACAGAGACTGCCCTCGAGAGAACAGCTCTGAGAGAACGTGTGACTGACCCATGGCCACACCAGCAGCTGCATGGGGAAGAGTGGGGAATCGAACCCGGTTCTCCCAGACTAGAGTCCACGTTCCTAACCATTGCACCAAACTGAAAGGAAAGATGAGCGAGGAGACCGGCCAGGGCCCAACCTAGCCATTTTTATCATTATTTTCTGAGCAGCTGCTAGAAATCTAGGCCAGAACACCAAATGGAAAACCCAAATGTTACCCCAAGGAAAACAACATTTCAGACGGTGCTATTTGTCAGCCACTGGCTCTAGGTCGATGCGTGAGCTCAAACTAGATTTTTCTTCTTCTTCTTGGGGAGGGGTTTGTGTCTGCAGAATCCAGATGTCCTTGAGAAAGGAAAGGGGCCGTGGCAAAGCAACAGGTGATGCAGTTGCATTTATTCATGTATATCCCGTTTTTCTCCCCAGTTGGGACCCGGGGAGGCTTTAGAACGTCCCCATTTCCTCACAACAACCCTGCGAGGTAGGTCAGGCTGAGAGTTTTTGATGGGCTCAAGGTCAACCAATGAACTTCCATGGCCGAAGTGGGGATTTGCACCCAGGTCGGCCATGGTCCTAGTCTGCTGTTCTATCCACGACCCCCTCTGGCTCATGTACATGAGGGGGAACAGACTCACCAAAGGGGAGACAAGAGTTTGCTTCCTTCCTGCCCCAACCAGGATGGGGCAGCGGTCCGACTAGGACCGGAGAGACCCGGATTCGAATCCCCGCTCTGCCGTGGAAGCTCGCTGGGTGACCTGGGGCCAGCCACTTGCTCCCTTCGCGGCCTAACCTACCTCGCAAGATTGTTGTGGGATAAAATGGAGGAGAGGAGAACAACGTTGGGAGCCATTCTGGGTCTCTACTGGGGAGCTGGGGTTCAAGCCTCTAAACCTGCTGCGCCAAAACACGGAATCCGAATTCCACGACAGGCACTCAGCTTCGCGCAGAATTCAGGAGACCAGTCCCAGGGCGGGCCCTCTTCCTATCCTGAAACTGGCGTGGGCCTCACAGGAGTGTTACTGGAGAGAAAGCCTTGCGGGGGCTAGACCCCTACTGTGCGGAAGCCCCGCCGCCTGCCCACGCTGCGCTTCCCAGCACGGCGCCCTCTAGCTGCACGCGGTGGCCGCGCCTGCGGAGCGCACTCCCAGCTGCTCGCCTGCCACTGGCTTGACGCACCCTCCTCGGAGGGAGTCGGAGCGCAAACCCAATCAGAGCTGTGGCGTTAATTACAGAGTGCCGAGATGAAGTGCCGAGCTGCTTGCCTTAATTAGTGCTTCGTTAAGGAGTCACCAGCCCACCGCCGGCAGCAACGAGACGCACCGACACCCCCACCCCCCTGCTTTCACCCAGCTTCGTTCCGCTTCCACTTGGGGGAGCCCTCTCGTCAGGGCCTCCCGTAACAAAGGGGGCGGTCCTGGGTCCGGTCTCTACAAAAGGGACGGGGTCCGATCCGGCCGATCGGACCCCGTGTCCCTTTTTGTAGCGACTGGAGACACCAGCTGGCCCCCTTGCTCAGGCGGCAGCCCCGGTCTGAGGTGTCACTAGATGCAAGATGCAGGACCAGCCGACTTGAGCCACGGCTTTAAATATATACACATTTCTTAAAATGATAAAGAACCGGCCAGCCAGATGCTTTCAGTGGTTCAGACGGCAGCCACGGGGCCTGGCCTAGATTGCACCCCCCGCCCCCCACTGTTCTTTCCATCTCTCCTTCAAACAGGCGGCATAACAGTCAGGAATATGGTGGGCTCTCCTCCTTTGGAGGTTTTCAAACAGAGGCCAGATGGCCATCTGACGGCAATGCTGGTTCTGTGAACTGAGGCAGATCACGAGAGGGGAGGGCAGGAAGGGTTGCCTCAGGGCTTCGTTCTCGTGGCCCTTTCTTACACGCCCAGGGGAAACGCTGGTCACAACTTTGGGGTCAAGAAGCAAATTTTCTCCAGGCCAGTTTGGCCGGGGATCCTGGAGGGTTTTTTGTTTGCCATCTTCTGGGCATAGAACAGGGGTCACTGGGGGTGTGGAGGGGAAGGTAATTGTGAATTTCCTGCATTGTGCAGGGGGTTGGACTAGATGACCCTGGAGATCCCTTACAACTCTATGATTCTATGTGTCACAGTAGAGCCAGGGAGGCTGAGAGGGGGAGTCACAATACAAGTTCGAGGGTCAGCCGGGAGAGCAGTCAGCAGCGCGTTAAACAAGTCCCAAAACACCAGACACAATCGTAGTCAAACGTTACCAGAGGTCAGAGTCCAGAGAGCAAAGCCGAGAGCATCGTCAGGTTCAAAGCAGGGAGTCAGGAGCCAGAGCAGAAGTCCAAAACACAAGCCGAGTCCAAAAAGCCACATAGTCAAACAGGAATCAAGGTGCAGAGCTTCTGGTTCTACGAACGAGGTTGCCAGCACAAATTGCTCATGGCCAGAGGCCCTACTAAATAGTGCTCTGGCCCATTAACTCATTAGCACCTTTGTGCGAGGTCCTGGCTGCTGTTAAAACTCAGGGCTCAAGGATCTCCGCCCTCTTGAACGTGCTTCTTTTCGACGTCTCTGATCCCTAAGCCTCCTTACAGGTGGGGGAGATGCAGGTGGTGAGCTGCTTATGGCCTGCTCAATCCCAGGTGCAAACCGTCCTGTAGTTGACTCAGATTGCTGTGTATCCTCCTCAGTACGTACAGTAGGTGCAGATCCTGATGCTTCTTCAGCTCTTAAAGGCACTGAATCCTCCCCTCTTAGGCTGTCAGGAGCTGGCTCTGGGGCTGAGTCAAGGGCAGGCATGACACTATGAAAGTTTCGACAGAGGGAAGGGAAAAGGGGTCTCCTTAGACTCTCCCTGCTGTCGTAGAGCCCAGGAAGGAGAAGGCCGCAGCCCCGCCCCCTTCTGCTGGCATGAGTCAGCCCTCGCCTGAGCCAGTGTTCACCAGGCTTTGAACTGGGGGCCCCCTTCGACGAATTCACTCAGCCGGGCAAGAAAACCCGTGCGAGATCCCGGTATACTGCTGCCCGAGTGCTCCTGCAGGTGTGTCATTCCACACCGAGCCCCTTCTCCAGCCCGGCTGTTAGAAGAGGCCTGGAGAACGGCTCTCTCTTAAACCCGGCCGGCTGGCCTAGGGAAAAGGCGGGAAGGGGAGGAAAAGAGATCCACGCTGGCCGGAAGCTTCCATGGGCTACCTGCCTCTCCTGAGGCGACTGTCGCTCAATCCATCACCCTTTATTGCTCTAGCCAAAGACCGCTGTGAAACACGTCCAAGCTGTTGGTTAAAAAAAATATCAAGAGCGCCACATGCGAACAAATTAAACCCATTAATAAAACACAGAAGTCAAGGGGGTGAGTCACATTAGTCGGAGGTATTGCAGCGTCCCCGGTTAGCGCAGCAGCTCTGGCAGCCGCGATGCTCAGCCTGCGCTCTAGGGAGGAAAGCGGCCCCCGGCTTTGCCTCCGGCTCTCCCCTCTCCCTGGAACTCCGCGTCCCCCTCCAGCTGTCCTGCGCCCGCCCCTGAGGAAGCTGGGCGCGTCGGGGGTCCACGCCGTAGTTTGAAAACCACTGATCTGAGGTCTTGTTTTGTGACAGCCCAGCCTTTGCAGGTTGGGCTTTGGGGGAAAAAGGACATCTTAGACATGGCCGTCTGAAAAGAACCAGCTCACGAGCCAATTTGGTGTGGGGTTTTCCAGAACGGCCTGGTGTGCCTTGCGCCCCAGCTGCTACTACTGTTTTCGCCGTTGGGGAGAAAAGCAGAGTATGAATGAAGTTCATAAATGCATGTCCACACCACACGGGGGGAGCTGGGTTTTTGAAGTAGCCCCCCTGTTAGTGAGCGGCCGCTTGCATGCAGTGTCGTGGACCTGTGAGCTGAGGTGAAGATCCTAATGAGAACATAAGAGAAGCCATGTTGGATCGGGCCAGTGGCCCATCCAGGCCAACGGTCTCGGTCGCACAGTGCTCAAAGCCCAGAGCTCGGAAGCTAAGCAGGGATGGCCCTGCTTTAGTATTTGGACGGGAGACCACCAAGGAATAGCAGGGTCGCAACCAGTGTTCCCTCTAAGCTGAGTTAAGTGTGAGCTAGCTCACAGTTTTTTTAGGCTCTGGCTCACACATTTTTGTCTTCGCTCAGGAAGGGGTGGCTCCAGAGCACACTAATGTCTGCAGTAGCCAAACTGCTCGCTCACCACTTTAATGCCAGTAGCTCACGAAGTAGAATTTTTGCTCACCGGACTCCACAGCTTAGAGGGAGCATTGGTCGCAACATCATAAATCACCTCTGAACGCCTCTTCCTCTAAACATGAGGGGTTACATAAGAACATAAGGGAAGCCACGCTGGATCAGGCCAATGGCCCATCCAGTCCAACGCTCTGTGTCACACGGTGGCTGAAAACCAGGTGCCATCAGGAGGGCCAGAACTCCAGAAGCCCTCCCACTGTTGCTCCCCAAGCACCAAGAATACAGAACATCACTTGCCCCACACAGAGTATTCCATCTCTACCTTGTGGCTAATAGCCACTGATGGACCTCTGCTCCAGATGTTTATCCAGTCTCCTCTTGAAGCTGTCAATGCTTGTAGCTGCCACCACCTCCTGAGGCAGTGAATTCCAAGTGTTAATCACTCTTTGGGTGAAGAAGTACTTCCTTTTATCCGTTCTAACCGGACTGCTCATTAATTTCATGGAGTGCCCAC